GTCAGACAGAAGTAACACTCCTTCATTTGAAGCAAAGCACTTGTCCTCCTCTCAGATTCTCCCACCCAACTTTACATGCACAGCGGGATTATCATCGTCATCGTCATCATCATCATCATCATTGATTATCCTAGGCTAGGTGCACCTGGAAGGATAGTAAAATCTGGGCAAGTTTCAAGAGCAATTCCCTTATGATATGGCATGAGAATCTGATGTTCAAAGTGGTTGGGAAGAAAATACTTACCAAGTGATTTCTAGCCATTGCTGAGACAAATACTGCCCCACCCCAGGAAGAGAAGCAACTCCAGATAATTGTGATTGCAATTAATGACCTGGAACAAAAGCACTGCACAGCTAGCGCCAGATGTTCAAGGGTGCTTTGCACTTTGTTTTTCCTAAACAACCACACCGCCCCATGCCACAAAGCAAACCATGTGGGAGAAACTAAGGAGGAGTTTGTGAAATTGTCATTAGGGTCTTCTATTCAAAAGGGGAAGGCAAAAAGCCTGCAAACCCAGGCTAAGCTAGCTCTTTAGATCCCAACTGAAAAACACACACCCTAGAATATGGCTGTGTATACATCATACACATAGTGCTGCAGGGGGGAACTGCAGTTCTTAGAATACTTGGGGTGTACGGTACACTTTAAATGTATGTATATTGCTGTCATGACTTTTAAAGTCCGTATCCATACAGACTCTGTTTATTTCTGCTAGAATATCAACTTCATTATACAGTGGTACCTCGGGTTACAGACGCTTCAGGTTACAGACTCCACTAACCCAGAAATAGTACCTCAGGTACTATTTTAGGATGAGAACAGAAATTGTGTGACGGCGGCGCAGCAGCAGCGGGAGGCCCCATTGGCTAAAGTGGTACCTCAGGTTAAGAACAGTTTCAGCTTAAGAACGGACCTCTGGAACGAATTAAGTTCTTAACCCAAGGTACCACTGTAGTGACATTCTTTTCAAGCTGTGGATTCCATAGTTTTAATGGCAGGTTAATAGGAGTTCAGATTTCTGGACTCACAGTGCCATAAATAGTGCATTTTATAGGTTAAGTTCAAGTCTTGCTGTACACCTGCAGGATATTACCTTTGAGTGACACCCTTCACCTCTCTCTCTCCCCTCCAAAACATGTGCCAGGACTCCCTCCACTTGCTGAACTTGCGATGTGTGCACCAAATATGAACTTTGATGAGGAAAATTGCGAGTGCATCTGTAAATGGAAATGCACTGGCAATTTATTTCAGAACAAAGAGAACTGCAGCTGTTACTTGTGTACGGAGAACCAAGACAGCTGCCTTCAGAAACACAAGGAGTTTAATGCAGAAACATGCAGGTAAGCCTTCCTTTACATTTGAGTTCCATGCGGCATGCTTGGTCCACAGCCAGGTTGATTGATTCCCACCCCGGGTTGAAATTTGTACTAAATGAGAGGGCTTGTGTAGAACGTAAATCTCCCATGTAACAAAATGATAATGAATGAAGATCTTCCATGCAATGTGGAGCCATTCTGTACCTCCCTTCACATGACCATAATGGACATAGTCTTTTCATGCGTTCCTGTACATACTCCATAGAACAGAAGGGTGCACTTACCACATTGTCTTCTCTGACTTACTGTCTTCAAACAGCTGTGAAGACAAATGCCCATTCCAAGCCAGAATGTGCCCAACCGCTCGGCCGGCGTGCTCAAGGCACTGTTGCCGCCCAAGAGGGGGAAGAAGTCCTCACGGGTCCCAAAGCAGAGAAACACCATGACTGAGCTTTTGTTATCTCCTGTACTACCACTACCACACTGCTTTGCAAAGTAGCTGCCCACCATCGACTGTTAAACAATAATAATCATGGATATGGGTGGCTTTACTGCTAAAAAATACAATTAAAATCCAGTCTGTCTTCGTTATTAAGACGACGAATGGATCTGCAAGGACATTGCCACCTGACTGCTGATATATGCTACAACAAACTTTATCCTTGTTCTGTAACGGACTACCAGAAAGACCTACGTTCATTGATGTTGTATGAAAAAGAAAGTGGCATGTTAGCAGCAATGGGGATATCTTTACCAAGCAACTTTGAAATGCAGAGAATAGTTCTATGCCTTCAACCTGCTTATTGGTCATATTTCTTTTTAGACCAACTTTTCAAGACCTTCTAAAATTTGGTTCCCTATTGCATTCAGCACTGAATGATTCGATCTACTGTCTATCTGTGTTTTATTATTTGGATTTATCCTAGAACTACTGTCTGATGTGCCATATTTAAAATGTATATAGAAAAATAAAGGCACCAGTTATTAATTAATATGCAGTGATGTGTATAATTTCTATGGCAAGCTTGGTCAGAAGGAATGAACTACGACTAGAGGTTTTCATGTGCATCCTTTCATTCCATACACATGGAATAAAAGTCTCCCCACGCTCCTCCTTTTTAAAGAATTCTGTTCTACCACTCATGTGGTAAGACTTGGGGTGAAGCTAAATGCTAACCCTGCAGCAGGGGATTTTTTATTTGATGCTAGGGAGAAGAAGGGGAGGTTTCACCCTTCCCTCCAGATGTAATCCTCTCCAAAATCACTCATCTGCATTGCAATTAGCCTTCTTATTACTTTACACCCTGCTCCCAAAGGAGCCTAGGGTGGCTTCTAAGAGATGCAACAATAAAATTACCTTAAAAACAATTCCAGTACAGATGCAGATGAGGAAAGATCTCAACTTAACAGGAGGGAAGGTCTTAAGCAGGCGCTGAGAAGGCGTCAAAAATGGCACCTTCCTAATATTGAAGGGGAGGGAATTCCAAAGGGAAGGCACCACAGCACGAAAGGCTTGATTCTTCCATTGTGCGGAAGGGACTTGCTGATAACAGTGGTATTTACAGGAGGCCCTCCCTCACCTGTGTGAGTGATCAACTGGATATATACGAGCCGAGGCCATAAGGACAATAATGCACTAGATCAGGACTATGCCATGTGGGGATGGGAGCTTGAACCTTTTGCCTCCACACCAGCCATGATCGGAATTGGATCCCACTCCCAACTCCAAGTCTGCTATTTGCAGTTGGACAGAAATTTCTCTTTCGCTCTGCTGGCTGGGTCTGCTGGGAGCTGAAGTCCAGCATGAATGGGCACAGGTTCCTTGCCTCCGGTTTAAAGGTTTGGCGGAGAAAGCCAGTACTGTGTTTTTCAAATACTAGCTTCTTTAAGGGAAAGGACTGTATCTTAGTAGTAAGGCACAGTAGTAGGACCCCTAGGTATAGGGCGATATATAAATTCAATAAATAAAGAATAAAATGTACCAAATGTACCAGGTTCAATTCTGGCATCACTAAAGAAGGCTGTGGAAAAAACAAGCACTTAGCTTTTTCCCCTCACAAAGTGGTTTGACATTTGTCCAAATGGTTCTCTTTCTCCATAAGACTCACTTGTGATGAGGTAGATGGGGGAGTTAAATGCAATTTGGAAAATGGCTTTCGCAGAATGGCAATTTTGGGGGCCAGAAATTCATGCAATGATAATGGCTTGCAATTTTTTTGCAGTAGCTTGCAGCAAATTATCATATATGGGCTAATCTCCTTTTAGTGTTAAGGGCAATTAACTGACCACTTTCATTAATGTCTTGTGGATGTAAATTGATCTAGACCACGGTAAGTAGGTATAAACCTTTCTTTTGGCCTGCCACATTGACAGATTACACAGGAAAATGTTGTATTCCAATAGCTCCACCTAGTGTTGTCTGGACATTATTAACAGGTTCCTAAAACACTGCAACTTGAAAACATACGAATTAAAAGAAAATGTTCTATGCAAATGTCCATAAAAATTAGCTCAAACCTAAATAAACTACTATATAAATTTAGGAATGCTGAATGCAGTGTTTCCTTGTGAGATCACAGGGCAGATTGTTCCTCTTTTAACAAGTATTAAAATGGAATATACAAATAGAATACAGTGGGATGAAATAAACATGGATGAAATAAACATACAGTAAATTTGCACAAATCTGAACAGGGAGAGAAAAGCATTAAGCTTTTTTTAATCCTAAGCATTGTTATTTAATATCAATAGCTTGCTTGGGACAAAAACAGGGTGTATTTTTGGTAACAGAGGAACATTAGCGGCCGGAGAGTTTAAAATAGATGTCATATGATACCAATAATAGTGAATGTAACTTAGGAGACCTGTGAAGTTATACAAAGGGCAAAACAAAATGGAAGGCAGTACGATACTCTATGCTTTCAATAACATTTATTTTGCAATCTTTGCTTTGTTTTGTTTCAAGCTCTTAATCAAAATCTCTTTGGCTTTACTGACCCATTTCTATATTGTGAAAGGGAACAGGAAAGAGGCTGCAAGGATAGCAGAAGAGATCTATGGAATAGCCCCAGGTAAAATTGTAGAGATAAATATTTAAAAAACTAACTGATCTAAAAAATCAAAAAATCACTGAAATTGTCAAAAATTGATACTCATGACTGCATTGTAATCAAGCCAGTTGGAAATATAAATATGTGTATGATTTTGTTAATACAAGCATAAGCTAGAATGAATATGTCTAAGATGAAGAATTAAAGATTAGCAGGGAAAACCAATGTGCTTCAGTATAAGGTAATATTTATTTTTGTTATAGGAAATAAGGTTTTCTTTTTATTGTTATTATTATTTTAAAAGCCAGAATTCTGCAATGCTGCTATTTAAACTATTTCGGTATTTATTTAATACAGTCTTATTGTGGGTCTGTTGCATCATTATGCGTACAAAAATGTGAAAGATTTAGAATATGCCTTTTCTGAAAGAAGACACTTGCTGGGAGAGTAAAATGTCTGCTTGAACAGCAGTTGCACGTGGCTTGGCTCGCTTTTATAGGAGGGATGAAACTGGATTGTTCCTGCATTCTCTGCCAAGCAGGGCAGCAAGTTTACATGTGAATGAATCACAAAATGTTAAGCTTGGGTCTTTGGCCAGATGTGTTGACTTAATGTCCTTCTGGGTTCATCCCAGTCCTGGCTACTTAGGATTCATCCATGGCAATAAAAAGATGGAGAATGCAGGGATAGGGGGTTTTAACATCATTTAAACTGACATTACCAAAAATCTTCCATTATCGCCGGCTTATTTCCTAGGCATTCTCATAGCCTTGCAAATACAAAGTTGTGCACGCTACAAATTTTAATCTGCAATGTCAAACATGAACAGGGGAGAAAAACTGCTTTTAAATACACAATTGCAACAATGTGGTTTTTCAAACATCAGTCATGGAGACAAAATGATCTGTAAATGATGCAATTATTTATTAGGTATAATTTATCTGTGTCTAGGCTACATAAGTATCAATGAGCTGTCCCACCGGAGTCAGTAAATCTGTCAGAAGCAGTAATGGTTATGAATGATATTATTAATCTCTCTACGTTTTATGGCCTGCAGTTCCCACTTATCTCTGCAATTCTATAAGGTAGCATATGTTTATTTTCAAACACATCAGTTTCCCTCACTGAAGGCTTAAAAAAATAAAATAAAAACAATTCAGACGAAAAGGTATTGGTTATCTACGCTCTTTTTCTCTGCCACGTTGCCTTTTGCCAGTCTGTCAAACTGAGTATCGTTTTTCAAAACACCACCTGACCACCAGCTCTGACCTCGATTAGATTACTTACACACCGTTACCGCTAAGCTTTAAAGTAATGCTGTCCAGCGCTGCTGCATTTACTCTCAGAGCTTCATGAAAAATACTGTTTCCGGGATGCCTTCAGTACCTGGAGCCTTAAGAGGTGTACCTTATGGGAATTACATTTGTCATATGTTTCAAGGAGGTATGTTCTAGATTGCTTAGAAAACTACAGCCCTCTTTGTGCAAATACATTAGGCAGCTGCATGTAGAAAGCTTGTACTTAAAAGACGGACACGTACAGATATTTATAGCCTGGGCCTGTTCTTGTTTTCATGGTTATATTTAACCCTCACATTTCACGCTATTTTGTACGTTAATGCATCTCTTGTTTGCAGCATCACAGGTAAGGCAATATTTGCTCCTTTGAGCTTCATGGCTTAAGAGTATAAAGAGAGCCAAACCCCAGTTATGGAAAATGGAAGGTGATATCAATTAATCACAGAACTGGCATGGTTCTGCTTAATGTAACTGGAGCCCCTGCTCCAACTGCTATATATCACAATAAGAATTACATGGATTTACTGAGTGCACCTATTTATTCAGAAGTAAGTCACACTGTGCTCAGTGGGATTTGACTGCTAGATGTGCATGTAGGGCCATCTTTAGCATATGCGTCGCCGGGGTGCAAAGATCCGCCCAGAGCCCCCTTTTTTAGGGGGGTGAACTCAAAGTTGTTGACTTTGGGGGGGTTGCTCATCTGTAACAATGGTGCAGCAGAAAAAAAACTGCTTTTGTTTGATGCTATGGAGTAACAGAGCAATGGAGGAGGGGTGGGGACTTACGCTCCATTGCTTTTCACTGCCACTGCTAGAGAGGTAAACATTTGGTGCCCCTTGCACCCCCGGGGTAAAGACAGCCCTGTATGTATGCATGAGATCACAACAGAAGTATGGTTGCTCTCTATCTCTCTCTCCTTTCTTACTGACTCCAAATGGGCCGTGAAGGAACTCTACTGGGGTCTTGCAATAGGTTTTGCGAGACATGACAATTGGCTGATGGTCAGGTTGTGCAGAGAGCTTTGAAAAGTGCTTTTTGTGCAGCCCACATGGCTTGATTTCATTATGTTGTCAGGCAATCGACAGGCGGGTGGCCCCACCTACTTGTTAAATTTGGCCTGCGGGAGGTGGGGGAGATAACGACCTAATGCTCGGTTCAGACACTGTTCCCTGCTCCATGTTAAAGCAAAATAATTTGCATTGGGCCACTGATGATGGTGAGTGGAGGAACACATATATGATGATATCAGAGCATGGTCATCATCATCATCATCTTCATCTTCATCTTCATCATCTATATACTACCTATCCAAGGTTTCTGGGCAGAAAGAGATCCTGCATGTTGTAGTAAAGGAGAGAACTTGAGGATGCCATTTTCCCTCAAGAAATGCCCAAATAACATTCCTCTATAAAAAGGGGCATAATTGTATTTAAAGGTAAAGGGACCCGTGACCATTAGGTCCAGTCGTGACCGACTCTGGGGTTGCGGTGCTCATCTCGCTTTATTGGCCGAGGGAGCAGCGCATGGAAACGCTGTTTACCTTCCTGCCAGAGCCGTACCTATTTATCTACTTGCACTTCGATGTGCTTTCAAACTGCTAGGTTGGCAGGAGCAGGGATCTCTGTTCTATAGACTTATCTTTCAGTGATCTTATTTTAGGCTCATGGGCAGACAGATCTCCCCTTCACGAAGCTGCCTTTCAAGGGCGCCTCCTCTCATTGAAAACCTTGATAGCACAGGTAAGAAACCCTAATATACCGTACTTCCCTGATTTTACAATGCAATCCTACATGTCTACTGAGCAGCAATGAGACTTGCCCTCAGGTTAAATGTGTATAGGATTGCACCCCAAACATTCTATTCACAACAATGCATACAGACTGCACAAATAAATTCAGTGTTGATTGTGCAAATTCAAAACTGAACTGAGCAGAGCTTGCAAAGATTGCATGAAAGGGAATAAACTTAGGGCCAATTCACACAATGACTGCAGGTTGCCCAGGGTGTTTTCACCAAGATTTAGAAACAAAAATCCCCCTCCTTTTCCAGATCTGTTTATTGTAGTGGTGAAAGTGTCAATTTTCTGGAACGACACAAGAGAAGGATAAGTTCTAGACTGCAGCTTGAAGTGTTGACGTAGCAGAAGTCCAAAACCATGAATTCTTTAGAAGCAGCCGCGTTCAGTGGCGTAGCGTGGGTTGTCAGCACCCAGGGCAAGGCAAGTAATTTGCGCCCCCTAACCCGTGGATTTGTGCCCCCTAACCCTCAGATGTTGCGCCCGGTGCGGCCGCCTCCCCTGCACCCCCCACGCTAGGCCACTGGCCGCGTTCATAGTTCTTTTTCTCCCAATGCAGTTTTTCTTCACAAACTTTGCTCATGCTCACACCAGTTCAGCATCCATAAGGAGACAATGGGTGATTTATTAATCAATTTCTTACCATATTCCCTACTTACCTGTCTTCACACCGATTCCCCATAAAATTCTGTTTCCAGGGGAACTGAGCACATCAATTAGTTCATATTGTGGAGAAGGCTCTATTGCTGAGTAATGTTGCTGTGTTAAGAGTTTTTAAAAATTATTTTTAAAATTGCATTTTTATTTCACCTTTCCTTGAAGTAATGCAGAGTGGTATACATGTTCCCTCTATTTTATTCTCACAAGAGCCCCATGAAGTAGGTAAGTAGCAGGCCGATATTTTATACCTCTTGCATCCAATCTCTCTTCAGTTAGAGAAACTGGATTGCTTAAACTATGCTTGTTCGGGGAGAACTCTTGCAGATTTCATTTTGCCGAACCACAAATCTAACCACTGGAAAAGGGTGTTTTAATTCAATATTAAATCTTTGTAGCTATACATTATTTTTTTTTGCAAGTGCTTATTATCCATACCTTTTGTTCTCAACTGTAGGGGTTCAACGTGAACATTGTTACAATAGACCATGTTTCTGCTCTTCACGAGGCTTGTTTGGGTGGCCACGTTGCTTGTGCAAAAGTGTTACTGGAACATGGTGCTCGGGTGAGTACTACCATGACTTCCTGGTTAAACTAGGCTTTATTTCAACAGGGTCAAAGCCCCAGTTTGGCACACCCTCCACGTGCATTTGTGTATGCACACAGAGGCTGGGAGCTTCAATGGTTGCCCCTCTGGAGGATTCACCCAGGGCAAAAAACCTTGCTAGCCCCCCGTAGCTATGCCTCTGCTTTCCTGTACAGTGGTACCTCGGGTTACAGATGCTTCAGGTTACAGACTCCGCTAACCCAGAAATAGTACCTCAGGTTAAGAACTTTGCCTCAGGATGAGAACAGAAATCGTACTGCGGTGCTGCGGCGGCAGCAGAAGGCTCCATTGGCTAAAGTGGTGCTTCAGGTTAAGAACAGTTTCAGGTTAAGAACGGACCTCCAGAACGAATTAAGTTCTTAACCTGAGGTACCACTGTATGAGAGATGCTGCTTCAAAATGGGAGCTAACAGGAGAACTGTGTGCATTTTGTATCATTGGGAATGTCCAAGAAGATAATCAAAATGGAAGAGTTAAAAGTAGGCACAAATACCATAAAAAGAAATCACTAACAGGAAGTGCTTGACTCTCCAACTGCATCCACCCACACCCTCAGTCTTGTCTTTGTTCTGTGTTGCAGGTGAATGCAGTCACTTTAGATGGGATCACACCTCTGTTTAATGCTTGCCGTTGTGGCAGTGCCCCTACCGTCGATATGCTGCTTGAATTTGGTGCCCGGCCGCAACTGGAGAATCATTTTGCTTCCCCAATTCATGAAGCTGTCAAGAGAGGTAACAGTAGTGGTTTTGGACAATTTTAACTAGATACAAGAATGTCAGATGCTCTGCAGAGCTTGTCGGTCCCAAGTGAGATTCCAATTGACTGCCTAACAAGGTGGGTCCAGCCCATTCCCCCTGCCCTCCCAATTCTGGGCCACAGTTGATGAGCAGAGCAGGTAGAAAGCCATAAACAGTTATCAGAGGCATTAAGCTTCATTGGTGATGCAGGGAGACTCAGGGTCACTAGAGGCTGCCTCACCAACCTCAGTCTTCAACCAGCCCAGGAGTGGATCCTGCCTGTCAGCTTCTTCATCTTCCACCTAAGTCGCAGTGTTAACCATTGTAGAACTCAGCAAGGAAGAGGATGGGAACAAAACCTTTCTAAATAAGTAAATAGAAACAAGGTGTGTGTGTGTGGAATTTGGGCAGGAAATTGGTGGGCAAACAGTGATTGTGTGACAAAGAAATACAATACATAAACAAAGGGAAGGGAAGCAGCTGGAGGAAATTTTGAGTAGAAAAATGGCTGTGGGGGAAGGGTTAAGCAGTCCATCCCACATCGTTCGTCAGAGGCAGGATTCAGGTCAATGGGGTTTAGGAGTGTCTAGTTAGAGAGCATTTAGAGGGTTTCTAGGGACGTGGGTGACACTGTGAGTTAAACCACAGAGCCTAGGACTTGCCAATCCGAAGGTCGGCGGTTCGAATCCCTGCGACGGGGTGAGCTCCTGTTGCTCTGTCCCTGCTCCTGCCAACCTAGCAGTTTGAAGGCACGTCAAAGTGCAAGTAGATAAATAGTTACTGCTCCAGTGGGAAGGTAAATGGTGTTTCCGTGCGCTGCTCTGGTTCGCCAGAAGCGGCTTATTCATGCTGGCCACATGACAAGGAAACTGTACACCGGCTCCCTTGGCCAGTAAAGCGAGATGAGCGCTGCAACCCCAGAGTCGGCCACAACTGGACCTAATGGCCAGGGGTCCCTTTACCTTTAGGCCACTTGCTGCTCTATAGTTCAACAAGGTTTTCTCCTCTGTGTTTACATAGGCCACAGGGAATGTATGGAAATTCTTTTAGCCAATGGCGTTGATGTGGACCAAGAAAACCCACAGCATGGAACAGTACTGTATGTGGCCTGCGTGAATCAAAGGACAGACTGTGTCAAGAAACTTTTAGAACTAGGTACTCTGGCGTGTGTTGGGTTTTCTTGGATGGGATTGGGGGGGGCTGCTGCATTCCTCAACATGCCAACACTATTTCAGGAACACACTCTATCGTAAGATGGAGCAAGGCTTTCAGAGCAGCTGTCCCTGTTCTGTGGAACAGCACCTCTGTTGAGATACGGCAGCTGTCCACTATTTGTAATTTCCAGAAACCATTGAAGACATTTTTGTTTCAACAAGCTTTTCCAGCTGGGTGTAAAGGTGTTTATTTTGTATTGTTTTTAAGTCCATCTTATTTTGTTTTGTTTTTTCTATTAAAACAAACTGTTTTAGTTGTTTTTACTGTATCTTTGTAAATAGTGTTGAAACTCAAAAAATAAAAATAAAAAATACTCCAAATTGAGAGCCAGTGTGGTGTAGTGGTTAAGAGCGGTAGTCACGTAATCTGGGTAACCGGGTTCGCGTCTCCGCTCCTCCACATGCAGCTGCTGGGTGACCTTGGGCCAGTCACACTTCTTTGAAGTCTCTCAGCCCCACTCACCTCACAGAGTGTTTGTTGTGGGGGAGGAAGGGAAAGGAGATTGTTAGCCGCTTTGAGACTCCTGAAGGGGAGTGAAGATATCAAATCCAAACTCCTCCTCCTCCTCCTCCTCTTCTTCTTCTTCTTCTTCTTCTTCTTCTTCTTCTTCTTCTTCTTCTTCTTCAAATGGCTGACAGGGAGATATAAATGCAAGTCTGGAACATTCTGTGCGGACCTTGGCTAGTTCCTAAGCTTCCATTTCCTAGAAGCAAGCAGAACATGTAGCCCAGCCAAGTCTCTAATACAGATCCTGAGGGAAGTTTGTTGTTGTGCTACATCTCCGAGCCTAGGGAGACTGCAAGAAATCAACTGCCCTGGTGCCTGGGAGGGATAGGCATCACTGGGATGCTCCCTCATCTCCCTAAATAATATTTATACTCCAAGCCTTGAGAATTGTCCTTGCCTGAAGGAAAAGGAGGACTGGTGTCAGCATACCCCACTTTTGGAGTCTGGAGCTAGTATTGGTTCCAAGGGCTAAGATTTTTATGATTATTATTATTAAAGTCATTTTGCAAGTAATTTTCCTTAATGTAATGCATTTTGGTATGTTATTTCCATTAATAAATGCATTTTGGTATGTTATTTCCATTAATAAATGCATTTCTATGCACATTTTACCCTAGTAAATGCATTTTGTGCACATTACTTGTCTGGAGAACTGCACAGCAAAATTCCAAGAAGTCTGAATTTCAAAGGATAGTTGCGTTTCAGTTCACATATTGTTTCAGAAAGTGAGTTAAGTAAGTTTGCCTTGGAATGCAGACTCCATCCCTACTTCTCTTATCTGTTCCTCAGTTCCCTGGGAGGTGGGGTGGGGAACAAACCTAGCTGCTGACATAGAAATAGTTTTTAGAGAAGTAATTTATTCCAGCTTTAAGAAAAAGTATTAAAGGAGGAAATAAAAATTCACATTGCTGTCTTCTTGTCTTCTTTCCATGTAATGCTAACTGGTTTGTTTTCCTTCCCATACATTCTCTCCAAGGAGCTAGTGTCAACCTGGGTAAGGGACTGGACACACCACTTCATGCAGCTGCTAGAAAATCCAGTGCAGAAATTGTCAACTTGTTAACAGACTACGGGGCCAGCTTGAAATGTAGAAATTCTGAATTAAAATATGCCCTTGATCTTGCTGCACCTAATAGCTCTGTTGAACGGGCGCTGTTGCTTCGGGAAGGTAATGGCCTAGACATTTGTCACTGTCATGCTTCTTGCAAATTGTCAGGTCTTATTGTTGTCCACAGAGGTTCTTAGGGATTAACTGGTTACAGGGATGTCCTTGAATGACTTCAAGAGAATTTGAGCCAATTAGATCATGGCTATACAAATGAAATATATGGAGATGGGGAAAGGAAGTGATCTGCTTTGCCTGTGCATAAAAATCTGGGAATTCCTATGCCTGTAATATTTCAGAATTTTGGGGGCTTTCATTAAATTGTAAAGCAAAAATGGAAATGGGAAGCCACCAGACAAGAGTGTAGCATTTATCTCTATATACAGAATAGTGAAGACGCGGGTGGCGCTGTGGGTAAAAGCCTCAGCGCCTAGGGCTTGCCGATCAAAAGGTCGGTGGTTCGAATCCCCGCGGTGGGGTGCGCTCCCGTCTTTTGGTCCCAGCGCCTGCCAACCTAGCAGTTCGAAAGCACCCCTAAAGTGCAAGTAGATAAATAGGGACCGCTTATTGGCGGGAAGGTAAACGGCGTTTCCGTGTGCTGCGCTGGCTCGCCAGATGCAGCTTTGTCACGCTGGCCACGTGACCCGGAAGTGTCTCCGGACAGCGCTGGCCCCCGGCCTCTTAAGTGAGATGGGCGCACAACCCTAGAGTCTGTCAAGACTGGCCCGTACGGGCAGGGGTACCTTTACCTTTACCTTTTTACAGAAGAGTGAAAATTTTATTAAATTACTTTGGTTTAACTAAAGCCCAGGTTCTGTATCATTGTGCTTCAAAAATTATTTAGTGAGCTAAATATAGTGTAATCTAGGTTCCCAATTATTCCCATGGAAGCTAAAATCTAAATTTGAATTGATGATGCTTTTTCTATCTAGCTTTTTACCTGGATTTGCCTACCCTTGATTCACAGTCTCCTTATAGACTAGATTTCTGCCCACTGATATATGCTGTACTTATCTCTGAGTTGACATTATTGAATTCATACTACTGTTCTTTTTTCTCTCTTCTTCCAGGCCCTCCTCGGCTGGCCCAACTGTGCCGATTGTGTATCCGAAAATGCTTGGGCCGATCATGCCTTTATTTAGTCCACAAACTACACTTACCTGAACGACTTGAAGATTTTCTTTTGTTCCGATAACCTTACAGTTCTTTGTAGGCTAACAGAATCAACGAAAAAGACTGTTTACTCTTAATATAATAAAAACCAGGGTGAAAATTAACAAAGGCACATGGGGTTTAAAACCATAATGTAGCAAGCTTGAAAAGAGCATCTGTGCATTATTTTCTGTGCAAAGCTTGTTCTGGAGGTTGAAAGTTTGCTTGTCAAATGCTTAGCCAAAATGAAGCGGTTTCTATGTAATCACAGCAAAATGGACTCTAGGGCAGTGTTTCCCAACCGGTGTTCCGCGGCACACTAGTGTGCCGCGAGACGTTGCCTGGTGTGCCGCGAGATGTTGCCTGGAGGGAGGCGGGCGAGTCGGGCGGCGAGAGGCGGGGCGGCTGCGGCGAGGAGAGGCCGCCCAGCGCGGGGCTCTCGCCGTCTGCCTGCCTGGCTGCCTGCGAGCTCGGCGGGCAGCGCCTCCGTCCGCAGCGCCCGCCTCGCGGCTCTCATTCCCTGCCCCTGCCAAAGCTCACCCAGCCAAGCCGCGCTCTCCTTCCTGCCTCGCTTTGCTGCCTCCCCCCCCCAAAGCTTGGAGGTTCCCCGGCGCCGACCCGCAGGTTTGACCCCCTTCTCACACCTGTTCGCGCTCCTTGCACGGAATGGGGCGGATGGGGAGGAACGGGGCTCGCCGCTGCCTCCGCTCGCCCTCCCCCCCTCCGCCGGCGGTCCTGCGATTCTTGGCTTTTTTGGCGGTTGGCACAGAAGGAAGGCAAGGGGGAGGGGGAAAAATTGAAACTTACACTTTTGTGCGTCCCTCCCGGCGTGACGCTGCGCGCTGACGTCACGGGGCTGTAATGGTGGAGTGCCTCGAGATTTTTTTCATGAAACAAGTGTGCCTTTGCCCAAAAAAGGTTGGGAAACACTGCTCTAGGGTTCTTCTCATACCTTCCCCATGGTTTATTGTACCTCTTTGTATTAGAACACTACATCCGCAGCACATCCATATTCTTACATTTTAAGAAGAATATGGATGTTCAGTAAGTCCATTAAAGGTTTTTCATTTTAATTAAACACACCTAAACTTACCTGCAAGTTACTTTGTTCTTTGTTCTTTGATAAGCAGAGCGTATAATTCAATTGCCACGTCCTTTTTTAAGGCCATTAAAATTCAGAGCAGGATTAGCCAACTCCTAGAAGATGAAAATACACCTGGTATAACAACAAGGTTATACTTTCTCATCTGCTATAAAAGAGGAGGAAGAGGATCCATTAATGCTGGCGTTATCACAGGCACATACCGTATGAAGCAGAACAAATGGATTCACGGGAAATGGTTGATTGCTTAGTTTCTGAAAAGATAAATGACACTGAATCAGTAACATCTAGTCCATTATAGAAAACAGTTATCTTTCTGCCTGTGAAAATTACCTGTAATTTTTGCCATTAAAAGCTTAACTCTACTTACCGTATTTTTCGCCCCATAGGACGCACCGGCCCAAAGGACGCACCTAGTTTTTTGGGGGGAAATAAAGGGGGGGAATTATTTCCCCCCCAGGCACGGGGCTGGGGTGGGGGAAGCCCGAGCTTCCCCCGACCCCAGCCCCCAGAACAGGCAGCTCTCCGTAAGCGTTGGGAGACCGGCACGACTTCCCGCCGGGCTCCCACGGCTTGCAGAGATCTGCCTGAAGCCCAAACCAGGTCGGGGGACAGTGGGAAGGCACGCTGCGCCTCCCCGCTGTCCCCTGAGCTTGTGGGGATAGCGCTTCTCCCCACCACCAGCCTCCAAACCAGGTCGGGGAACCGAAGCCCGGGGCGCGCTGTGCAGTGCGCCTCAGGCTTCGAGATGCAGGCTGCTATCCACAAGCCTAGGGAGCCCGACGGGAACTCCCGCGGGCTCCTAAGGCTTGCTAAGAGCTTCCTGAAGCCTGGAGAGCGAGAGGGGTTAGTGCGCACCGACCCCTCTCGCTCTCCAGGCTTCAGTGAAAGCCTGCATTTGCCCCATAGGACGCACACACATTTCCCCTTCATTTTTGGAGGGGAAAAAGTGTGTCCTATAGGGCAAAAAATACGGTAAATGCACACAGGAGGGCTCTCTGAGACCAGGTGAACGTTTTGAATCTTGGTGGATCTATTTCAGAAACGGTTTTGCTAGGGTTGACATACTCCAAAAAGTAGAAACCTAAGTAGGACCCCTAAGTTGAGCTTTTTTTAGACAAACCGCTAAGTTTGAGGCTTGTGGTGTTTTTTTGTTTGTTTTTTGTTTACAAAAACACAAATAAAAATGTGATTTTTCAATTAACTTGCTTAAGACCCAGGACAAAGCGCCACCTTCTGGCGATTCCCCCGGATGTCAATTCTGTCTTTGAAATCCCAGACATATGGCAGCCCTAGTTTTGCTCTCTCTTCCACAAAACCAGTTTGTTTTGTCACGTATTAAACTTTTTGCCAATTCACATTCACTATTCCCTGTGATACCTGAGTGCCAAACAATCTCTCTATTATTTAGGCAGAGTGCACAATAATGCAGGTTTACTGCTGCATTGTCAGAGCCAGATATGTGACAAGGTGACTTGTCTGAGACATAAGAAAATGTGAAAGACCCATCTAGTCTAGCATCCTGTTCTCACAGGGGACAAACAGATGCCTGTGGGAAATATGCAAGTGTCCTGGAGCAGTAGGTTCCGTTCCGTTTCTCTAGCCACTCTGGGCGGCTTCCAATCAAATATTAAATACAATACAGCATCAGACATTAAAAACTTCCCTAAACAGGGCCGCCTTCAGTTGTCTTTTAAAAGCAAAATAGTTGTTTATTGCCTTGACATCTGCTGGGAGGGCGTTTCGCAGGGCAGGCGCCACTACCAAGAAGGCCCTCTTCCTAGTTCCCTGTAAGCTCACCTCTCGCAGAGAGGGAACCGCCAGAATGCCCTCGGCGTTGGACCTCAGTGTCAAAACAATAAGCAGGATGCTGTAGGGGGAAATTGAAGTAAGTGCTGTGCTTGCAAGCACCCTATGGGTATCTGGTTGGCCACTGTGAGAATACGATGCTGGACAAGACGGGCCTTGGGTCTGATTCAGCAGAGCATCTCTTATGTTCTTAGCTGCCAGAAATGGTAAGAAATCTTCAGAGAAGACAGAGAGTCCTAATAGCCAGGGCTGAGTTTCTGAATGTTTCCAGTGGCAGGCCTTGAGCCTGGAAGACATGAAGTAGTAATAGAAGAAGAAAATGCTTCTAAATATGTCTATAGCAGCTTTCCAATATTATCTCTCCTATCCCCAAACATTTGTCAGTAAGCTGGATATGTGTCCATTTACTAAGCGGTAGCACAGTGTGCATGTTTAGTAAGCCTGTGCTATCCTGCCAGGTTGTAAAAACATTTTTACCCTACATCAAGTTCAGGAGAGTAACAAAGGGGTCATCTGTAACGTCCTATAAAATGCCTGACACATACCACTGAACAGCACCGTGTCACTTTTAAAACAAACAAACAAACAAACCTTGTCTTTTATAGAACAACCTTTTTTATTTTTAAAAAATCAGTATTTATATTTTCTATAACTTAAATTATTCAGACTAGCACACATAAAAAATGGTCACTGAACTACACCAAACTAGTCTAAAGGTTTTCTTATTAAGCAACAGTCAATATCTCTCTGTCTAAAGATTTCAAAAGGGTTAGGTGTGTTCCACTGTTTGACATTTCTGAAACCATTTCTAAATGTTTTGACAGCTTTGCTACAGTACCTGGATCTTACACACTTATTGGAAGGAACCCAGAGTTGGGATCTGGTATGCATACAGATGACTAGAAGAGTTTGGAAACAGGGCACTGTTATACCAGAAATGTGTATCGGCTGGTGCTGCAAAAAGCATAAATGAATTCATGAGTCTTAACGAGGCTTTGGACATCAAAACTGAGGTTCTTAGGCAAAAGGAAGCAAAGGTATGAGAGGCATCTGAAAGCCCAGCTCCTTCCAACAGCCTGTGTCTCTGCCAGCTCTACTCCTTTGTCTCAGAAACTGGGAGGGAGGGAAGACTTGCAGGCTCATGTGGTTGCTAAGCTAAAGGCCTTGCTTTTCCTGGCCCCACCCCAGCCAGCCATGCCCAGCAGGTAGGCCCCTTCAGAGAAGACCTATATCTCAAGAAATCCCCTGGGATCTTACCTATTCATACTAGATCCCTGATGCACGTCTTTTCAGCATGCTAGCAGCAAGGAGCCTGGGAAGAGCAACAAAAGGAAACACGAAGAATATTGCTCCCAAGTGCCTGGCGTGATCTCCTTCCTGCCTTCTTTCCCTGCCCCTTCCCTGCCTCCTTGGAGCGGGAAAGGAAGTGTCTGGGGGACCAAGTGTGAGGAGGTAAGATCCCATGAGCTTTCTTAAAATCTAAAGCCTTTATCTTCCCCTTTCAAAGGTGAGCCACCATCCCACCACAGGCTTGAGACCACTTATTCCATTAGTCTGTTATCTTGTCATGACCTTGCTTTTTCAAAAGTGGGGTTTCTACCCGTGTTACTTTATTATGTAATATCAACCTGAAAGGAAGTCCGTCCCCCCCGGACTATGACTAATTTATTCATTGGTTTATGATCCATAGTAAAGGCTGTTTGGTCAAGAACTGAATTTCAGGTTGAAGCCGTTTCCTGGCACCCTTTCTACGAATGAGTAAGCACCTTATGCTGAGCTTAGTCCAAAATGCTGGGACGTGTTTACACCTGGGTGCTCTTAATTTTTATTTAGGGGGTGCCACCACCTTGACACTGGGTGGCAACCCTCACTAAATCCCATTTGAGTTCCCATGTGTATATTTATTTACAAATGGTGCTTTAAATGGTTTATGTTAAAACAAGGGCGTTTGGTGAAACTTCCTAAAAACAAGATTGAAACAAAATGATACGGCTCAAATAAAACGGAGTGGTGTACAAAACAGAGAATGAAAAAGTCACAAGAATCTGAATCAATGGAAGCTTGGGGCAACCGTTGGTGTTTAAGAGGAGTCTAGAATATATCATTGTCTCTGCCTCGTGAATTGCGCGTGGTGTGGGTGCTGTCCCTGAGAAGACTCTGTCCCACGTTGTCACCAAATGACGATCTGCTGGTTTGGGTCAATGTATTGCTTTGGGGTCCCTGCACTATAAAGGCCCCTCCCTCCACATGCCTGTAATCCTCGTCACATGTTCTGTGCAAGTACACTAAGTAGAAATTGAAGGAGGAAGGGGAGTGACACTAAAAGAAACCATCACATTGCCCAATTATGTGGCCAGAACCGACACTCATGTTTTAGATCCTTCAACTGGAAAACTGTAGGTTGTTGGGGCAAGGACTTCCTGCCATAGTGAGTGTGGGGTGTGTGTGTGTGTGTATTATGTATGTATTATATATACATACACACCGTGAAGCTAAAGACTGGTATTTTACGAGTACAATTGGGACCTGCAACAGAATAGTGTACAGTGGTACCTCGGGTTAAGTACTTAATTCGTTCCAGAGGTCCGTACTTAACCTGAAACTGTTCTTAACCTGAAGCACCACTTTAGCTAATGGGGCCTCCTGCTGCTGCCGCGCTGCCGGAGCCCAATTTCTGTTCTTATCCTGAAGCAAAGTTCTTAACCTGAAGCACTATTTCTGGGTTAGTGGAGTGTGTAACCTGAAGCGTATGTAACCCAAGGTACCACTGTAGTGTGGAATGTTCCTGTTCATTATTCCAGTCAGTCAGCCATGCCTGTACCCAGGATACTCCATTACCCTCCTCATCCATTTTGCCACCATTCTGACATCTGGTTTGCATTCCATGACAACTGAGCAGGCTCATTAGCCTGTCTTTTGACTCCCCTCCTTTTCAGGGTTCCCTCCCCAGATATTTTCTATTTCTACAAACTTAAGGGCTCCACCAGGCGGTTGATAGTTTCATCTTGTGTATGAGTGGTCCATTTTGCATACATAAGCGCTGGCACTTTACACCTGCACATCAGAATCAGAAGGTATGATGTTCAGAAGCAAAACCTGAATTGTGGAAAATTGCAGCTGCCTTTGATTTGCCGTTTTTTATAGCAAAAAACAGGCACTGTTGAAAAGACTGGATAGCTTTACCTTGAGCATAATGAAAGCAGACATAATGCAACTGTTCCTACATTGCTCTGCCAATTCTCATCATTCAATCCTGATGTATAGCCCCTTCTCCCATTTTAAGTTTACTGTCAGTTATGTGAAACGCGGTCAAAGACCAGACTGTCAGACATATCAATGTGTAGGATTAAGGCGGATGTTTTACTCTGGAGGCTAAGAGCTATTCCAACAAGTGGAATAATGGCATGAGCTACCTGTGCTACTCAGTCCGTTCACATTTTACGAAAAGAGCTGTTGTGATAGGCTGTGCTTAGTTCCTAAATGAGAAGAGCACTGAGTCATGATTTCTGAAGCCCTTCCAGGTGTGTGGAAGCTTGAACGGGAAATATATTCTTAAATATTTCAGAGTTGCGGGTTGGGGATAAATACTTTTATTTGTATACATCATTTAATGTACTTTACAATTTAATTAAATTAAGGGACGTGGGTGGCATGTGGTCTAAACCACAGAGCCTCTAGGGCTTGCTGATCGGAAAGTAGGTGGTTCGAATCTCCATGATATACCGTAGTGAGCTTCCGTTGCTCCGCCCCAGCTCCTGCCAACCTAGCAGTTTGAAAACACACCAGTGCAAGTAGATAAATAGGTACCGCTGTGGCGCGAAGGTAAACGGCATTTCTGTGTGCTCTGGCTTCCGTCACGGTGTCCCATTGAGCCAGTAGCAGTTTGGTCATGCTGGCCACATGACCCAGATAGCTGTTTGTGGACAAACGCCGACTCCCTTGGCCTGAAAGCGAGATGAGCGCCACACACCATAGTCGCCTTTGACTGGACTTAACCATCCAGGGGTCCTTTACCTTTTTACCTTACGTTTAAATTAACTGACGATGCTACAGTGTGTTTGGATAACTAATTTTTTCCCTCGAATTCTACCTTTTAATTGTCTCATTATTTATCCACAACACAAAGCCCTGTTTTGTTTTTTTTATCATGGTTTCTTCAACACACTAGGAACCATTCCACAAACGAGGAAACAAACCACAACTTATTTCACTGCCCGCCCTACTAGGGTACTGATTGGCCCATTTGAAATTAGAAGTTTGGCGGGTAATCCCACCCCCCACTTGTCCAGCCGTGGCTATTACTGACATCAGCCGGCCCCACAGGTGATCCTCACCCCACCCACCCCAGCTCTCCACCAACCCCAATCTGAATCGCCACTGCCCACATAGGGTAAGTGGTTTTATCTGTACTTTAATAATAGTAGTAATAATAACAAACTGCCAAAAGAAGAACACAGGATCCTCATACATTGCAGTCACCGCTGTCTTATAATATGCCAGTCTCCTCCTTTTCCCCTTGCTCAGTGAGCCTTAGAGAGGCTCATGAGTGGTCGTTGCTCCTCTCTGTTTTCATTTATTTATACTGTAGTTGGGGAGTTGCCAGCCATTTTTCCTTGAAGGGCCACTAAGTTAATAAGTTTCTATTCAGGTAAAAAAAGAAAAGAAAAAAGGAAACTACCAAGTGTAATATTAATTCCCTAAACAGAAACGGATAGACGGGGTGGGGGGGTGGGGGTGAATAGAACAGTTATTCTAACTGGCGTGTTGGTTTGAATGGGGTTTTGCTTTGTTTACCCTTCATCATGTGTCGTCTTGAGTTCATCTGTGGTCAAGATATTAAAATGAAATAAAGAAGCTCTGCCTAACACTGTGCTTTTTCATGCCATAGGGAGTATAAAGGAGAAGTTGGAAACAGCTCTCCAAACATGTGGTTTTAATATTCTTGTGGTATGTGGTGCAAAAACTTCTGTGCAGAAAGGATTCAGCTTGCCATTTCTGCGTGTAGTCATGCTTTTTTTGAATGTTTGTGATGGTATGTCTAAAAACAAATTAATTTGTGCCTTGTGATAAAGGCATTGCAGACAGCGCTAACCCCCCCTTCTCTTTCTCTCTTTCTCTGTTATAAATCCCCTGAAGGCACAGTTTGCTGAGCTAGTAAAACTGGCTCTTTCTGTCTTGTTTTTTTGGCAACTGAGAAGTTCCTTTCTTATAAAAACAGAAGGCAAACTCGCTGATTGGACATGGTCCTGGAAAGGATATGACATCAGCCACATCCCTCACTTTGTTCTCTGTGCCCGAAATCTTCATGTACTTTTTAACCCAGTCAATGAAGAGGTGTTCTGTTAAGCTGGAGTGCCCAGGTATTTGGGTTCCTGTAAACTTGATGCTAGCACTGAAGCCTTGGTCTTCTGCAAAATGTTCTTCACTTGCACACACACTGCTTAATAAATGACTCATAGAACTTGGGATATTTTTTTAACAGGCGAGATGGAATTTGAACTCTTCTCAGCTGTGAAGTGAAATCACAGTAGCCAGACTGTCCAGTGTCGCAATGGATGTGGAAGGGGCAAATGCGAACGCTGGCATATCCCAGAGATCAGAAAGCCAGCCTCATCCAACATACCTACCTAATCTACTGATGGGAGGTAAGTAATAATGCTGTTTTTACAAAAGGGAAGGGAAGAGATTGTTTCAAAGTGGAGGTGGAAGGATCATAGCTGCTCAGTGAGAGTTAATGTATAGAATTATGTCTTTAGAACATTTCTATACCACCTTTCAGAATAGTTTAGCAATGCAAATAAAAAACAATAAAATGCAGCAAAAAGCAAATGTAAATGTGAAAAGCACCACAGTGCTTAAAATAACAGAGTGATCTATGTAATTTTAAAAGCATATGGGAGGTAGTTAAAAAGCCTAGATGAATGGAAAAGTTAAGGTGTTATCAGTCTAACTTATGACTTGTTTTGAATCATTGCCACTAGATGTGAGCAAGCATACAATAAGTTAAGATAACTGGCAAACCGCTTTCACCAGCATTTTTTTAAAATATAGAACATTTGGCATTTGTGATAAAGAAGAGTTCTTTCGCAGTTAGATGAATCAATATTTGCTCTTGTTGTTGATTTAGAAACTGATTTAATGATACAGCATGTGAGCTGAACATGCTGCCACAATGAATGAGTGCGTATTTAAGATTAGAAGTATGCGGGTTGAAGATACATATAGACATTCACTTTACAAACATTCCTGTTTTACCAGATCTACTTTTATGAAGATATATATATTATAATATTGTGACTGTCAGGAGTAGCTGACGTGGTGGGGCAGTGCCATGTCAAGTGTTGTTGCTGCTACTACTTACTGGGACAACGTGACGCTAGGGTAGATAGAAGTGAGACTCTATAGGTGTATACAGGAGGTGTTGCGGGATTTGTTCTACCAGAGTGACTCTGCAACCCTGGCTTCACCAACCCTTCCACCTGTGCCCCAAACCCATCCTGGTAAACAGAAGTGACACTATGTGCACATAGAGTAGGGCCCACCTGCACTATAGATTTAAAGCAAGTACAGTGGTACCTTGGTTGTCAAACGGCTTGGCTCCCAAACAAATCGGGTCCCAAACGCCGCAAACCCAGAAGTGAGTGTTCCTGTTTGTGAACGTTTTTTGGAAGCTGAATGTCCGACACGGCTTCCGCAGCTTCAGATTGAGTGCAGGAAGCTCCTGCAGCCAATCGGAAGCCGCGCCGTGGTTTTCAAACTGTTCTGGTAGTTGAACGGACTCCCGGAACGCATGACGTTCGACAACCAAGGTACCACTGTAGTGGCTTCCCCCGAAGAATCCTGGGAACTATAGTTTGTTAAGAGAGTTGTTATGAGACCACCCCCATTTTCCTAGCAGAACTACAATTCCCAGAGTTTTCCGGGACCAGGAATTGACAAGCTAATCTGAGAATTGTGGATCTATGATGGGATTTGGGGTCTCCTAACAACTCTCAGCACACTTAACAAATTAAACTTTGCAGGATTCTTTGAGGGAAGCCGTGGCTGTATCAAGCAGTATGATCCTGCTTCAAATATATAGTGTAGATAGGGGCCTACTTCTGTTACCCTCAATATTCAGTTTAGTGGAGGAACGAGATCCACATTGCTTATTTAATCTCCAAGTGCCATAGCAATATACATTTCCCCCTTTTAATTCATCTGTCATTATTTTAAGCTTGTTCTCTGAGACTTAATTTAGATATAACTTTTATTTATTACATTTGTACCCTGTCTACAAGCTCAGTTTTATTTTTTTAAATCTCGGAATAGTCATGTGAGGTAAAACAGGATGAGAAGACTGGGTACTTTGCCAAATGCCAACTAAGGAATTTCATGGCCGAGGGCAGCGCTGTGCATTACAATCAGTGCAGGAAACATTGGTGTTAACATCAGCATTTCACGCAGCAAATATGCAAATTGCAGCTAGGCATGTACATGTCTCTTTAAACAACCACATGCACGTGTATGGGAAATGAGAATTCCTGGATGCACATACACAATGCTTTGTGGCATCTGCAGTACATGCATTTCTTGCAGGGCAGTCCAGTGTAACCAGGGTGTTTTCCTGGAGCAAACGTAATGGGGGAGCTTCCCTGAATGAGGATTGGAACCTGGCTATCTCACATCTTAACGCAAACAGTTTGGCTGCTGTACCACACTGCCTGTTATGTTTATGGAGGATTGATGTACAAATTGCAGCGGCAATCATGTTTTCCACAGTTGCACCAGAAATCCTAGAGGGAATCATAAAATGGCGTGGGAGGGTCAGAGCAGCATGTGGGGGTGGCGAGGACAAGATCATTCTGTCTGGCAGGCAGCAGTGCATCGATGGAACATTCATGCAACATTCAACTCCACCCAGTATATTCATTTCACATATTTGATCAACGAATTCAGAAAATCATACACTGCAGCCTTCTCCTGCAGGTGGAGAATTACAAGCTTGAATGCTCCCCACTCTAAAAACAAGCCATCCTTGTCCATGAAAAACTAGCATATGAAAGAGAAGAGTTATGGCCAGGCTTTCTCTCTGATATAGAAGCTTTCTTTATGCAGGAAGTTTATGGCATAGGGAAACATTCAGAATCCCACCCTGCATTCTGAAATGGAAAGTGTGACGCCTCCTCATACTGAGTGGGACCATTGGTCCATAGAACTCAGTACTCCAGGGGTGAGGAACCTGTAGCCTTCCAGATGTTGCTGAACTACAGCTTCCATCATCCCTGGCCATTGGCTGTGCTGGCTGGGGCTGATGAGAGCTGGAGTCCAACGATATCTGGAGGGTCACAGTCTACTCTGACTAGCAGGATGTTTTCTGAGCGCCTGGAAGAGGCCTGTCCCATCACTTGGCACTTGCCCATTTAGCTGACATTGAATTTGGGACCTTGCAAGTCATGATGTGATCTACCACTTAGCTACGGTCTTCCTTGGGTACAGTCTCACGAGGGTTCTATTACATGATGTTCTGCAGATACAGATTGGATCATAGCTGGCTGTAACCTTGGAAAATCATTCACAGCAGACAAGTAATTCTGTTTTCATTTTCCTCTTAGTTTCCCTGTTGATCTGATGGGGGAGGTGGTGATTTTTACATGGATAAGAGTCATTGATGCTGAGTTCAGGATAACATATTATTTTTCAGGATGTTAAAAACAAACTGCTGACGTAGCTACTTAAGAAGAGGTGCCCAGGGCTTACAAAATTTAATCAACTTATTCAATTATGATTTGCAAGTGACAGCAGCAAAATAGGGAGAAGTGTCCCCCAAATTAAGCAAGTTCAGCTCCCATTTAGAAAATAAAAGTTTTGTTTCAATGATTTTGTCTGAGCTAGTGTTTCCACTGTGGTCTCATGGTTGTCTTTATTACATAGGCAAACCTTATTGAAACCTTTGAACAGTTGGACTCCAAGCACAGTCTTTATGCTCTCCTGATTCTGATCAGTTGTGCAACACTGTTGATTTATCATCTACCTTGTATAGGTAATGCAACAGGTGAGCTATATCCTCATTAGAGGCAACCTACTTCTCTTTGAGGATAGGGCAGAGGATGGTGGCCTGGACCTACCGCAATGCATGAAAATAGACCGCCATCAAGTCCGACACCCATAGCATGTAATAACATAGTCCTCTGGTAACTGGCACCAGGTAATACCACCCAGGTGGCTAGATATATACCCTAAGGACTACGTCAGTGGATCATCCTGTAGGTATTATATTCTAATGTTAAAGGTAAAGGGACCCCTGACCATTAGGTCGAATCGTAGCCGACTCTGGGGTTGCGGCGCTCATCTCGCTTTATTGGCCGAGGAAGCTGGCGTACAGCTTCCAGCTCATGTGGCCAGCATGACTAAGCCGCTTCTGGCGAACCAGAGCAGCGCATGGAAATGCCGTTTACCTTCCTGCCGGAGCGGTACCTATTTATCTACTTGCACTTTTTGGGGTGCTTTTGAACTGCTAGGTTGGCAGGAGCAGGGACTGAGCAACGGGAGCGCACCCTGTCGCGGGGATTCGAACCGCAACCTTCTGATCGGCAAGTCCTAGGCTCTGTGGTTTAACCCACAGCGCCACCCGGGTCCCTTATTCTAATGTTAAACCATTCATAATTTTAAAAATAACATATTCATTTGATGTTTTTCATGTCTGTGGCTAAAAGCTGGAAATTAAGATTTAGGTATGGAGCAGTAGATCAATTCATCTAAACTCCCCTCACTAATGTGTCACAGATTAAGATACATCACAATGAATTGGTGTAGTTCAAATGTGTAGAGTGCTACAGCGCAACCCTATGCATGTCCAATAGAGTTTACTCCCAGGTAAGTGTGTAGAGAATTGCAACTTTACTCTTGGAATGCTGGGATTTTGGTTCAGATTCCCCATGAACATCACTGATTACTTTAAACCAGTCACTGGCTGTGTTCACACATAATTCTAAGCCATACTTTGTTCAACAAACCATGAGTCATGTCACAAGCAAGTGAACAAGCAAGCCATGCCTTCTTTTCTCCAAATTTTGGCTTGTTTTCCAACTACTCTTGCCTTGTGCCGTTTTAGCTTTACAAGTGTCAGGGGTGAGGAGAACAGACTCACCATGGTTCAGCAAGGCTGTTGGGTTCAGATGTGACACCAAACCATAGTAAAAACAAGGCAGAGTTCATAAGTCAACAAACAGTTATGGGTTTTTTTTGGCGGAAAACAAACTGTTATTATTTTACTGGGATGGGTTTGGACATTCAAACAAACCACAGTTAGGGTAAACAAGCCATGGCTTAATATTGTATGTGAACCAGGACACTTTGCCTCAGTCTAACCTCAGAGGTTGTTGCAATGATATAAGCATAAATGTGATTGGCCTGGAAGAGTTCTTGTCAATGAGAATGAGCAGAACTGAAAGAAAAGTATGAGGGCATGGATGAGATAAAAAAAAATGGAAAGGAGTAAAAAATAGTTAAGGAACAAGTTATTGAGAGGGTATTTTGATACCTTTTCAGGTTTCACTGTTTTGCTGAGCTGTGTTTCCAGTGAGCCATTATTGAGGATTTATGTTTGTTTAGCAGTTTGGTTAATGATCTGTGACAAAACATGGAAGAAGGAGTCTCCTCTCACAGATAGGTACTGCAGCATCTTTATTATCAAATTGAGCAGAAAACCATACATTGCCAGCAGCTGGACCTTCTCTCATGATGACATTCTGAATGGTATAGCAGTCTCTAAATCATTCCAGAATGTAGCAGTTGCTGCTGCTGTTGTTATTAAACAATCAAAGTGCATGCTGTCCTTATTCTGTGGAGTTTACCAGCTAAAATCTGACCCAAGAGAAATAACAGAGGAAGGGGAGTAAAAACAGTATAGGCAGGCACACCTGGCATAATCTGTCGTTCTGCCTACTAGGTAATGCAAACAAGGAGAGTATATCAAGTTAGTATATATATGGATACTAGCCAAGCATCATCATTGAAGAGGAAAAGAAAAGAAAAGACATGTCAATGGATGTGCTATGATACTGACTTTTTATCTGTTTCTCTAGCATGCAACAGTTTGGTCTTCCCTCGAAGTTCATTGCCTTGAGATCAGGTTGACAGGTCGGGTAATAAAACACAATTGCTTTTGCTTACTGAAGCAGGGATGAAGTAATCACATTTAAACACATGGATATCGCTTAACCTTTAAGAATCCTTTTAGACAGTGCCGGATTTACTGAGCTACTTTCCCCAAACCAAGAGTAGATAACCTCATTTAATCACATTCTTATTCTTAAACCTTGTTTCCCCTCTTGATGCAGATTTTGTTTCTGACTGGTCTCCTTTGCACGATGCTTCCATTCATGGGCGGCTGCTTGCTCTGAAGAAACTCATCCATCAGGTACTGCACCATTAGGGAGATAAACACTGAGTTTGCCTTGCTCATTAAGCCTCTTGTTGAAGGCACGCTCCATTTTATGCAGTAAGGTAGCAAAGGTTTGACATACGTGTTGACCTGAAGGACTAAAATGTAACATTTTCAGAAAATGGTAGTCTTGTGAGCTATTAAAAAAACAAAACAAAACAAAACAAAACAAAAGCACCCCAAGAGTTGAGGTAAGAGTTGAGAGTTGGAAAGGGAAGAAATAAGTTAAGGAAATTAGAATGAAAGTGAATTAATTAATTAGTTGGAGGGTTGCTGAAGAAAGGTAAAAACAAGGATGCAGAAAAGGGGAGGTATGGGGAAGTCCGGGAAGCAAGGTGTAGGAAGATAAGATTATGAAAGTATACATGTTTATATGTTTGTATGTTTTGTTTGTTTGTTTTGTTTGATTGTTTGTTTTTATTATATGCTTGGAAAACTAATAAAAATTATTATTTTTTTAAAAAAAAGAGAGAGTTGGAAAGGGAAGAGATCCTTTCAGTTGTTCTTTGTAGGAAGAATGGTGATTATCCATCTCACTTTTGCATAAGTCCACGAACAACAACGGGAGCTTTCTGGAAGCTACATGTTAATGTTGAACAAGCGGGCTGAAAAAAAGAATTATATATAGCTTAAGAGGAATGCTACACATGAATCCCATTAAGAAAGTTGTATTGAAGGCAAAAGGAAGGATATCGTTGAATGGACCAGACCAGTAGCAGCTGGTGAGGCGGAGCAGCATTGCTCACTCAACTTCCCATGTGGAGGTCACTGCCGATAACAGAGCAGGTGAGGCTGTGGTGACGCTGGCGTGGTGCAGATGCAGCAGCAGAGCCAGTCCAACACTTCTCCTCCTGCAACCATGCTGACCTCTGCCACCTCAACACACCCTTGATTATCGGTAGCAACCTGTTTTGGGAAGCCAGGTGAGTGACACTCTGCCCCACTAGCTGGTACTGGAACAGACTGCCTTGGAAGGCGGTGGATCCTCCTTTGTTCAGAGTTTTTTTTTAGTGGAGGCCTGAAGGCCATCTACCAGGGATGCTGTGACAGTTGTTTGCTGCATTGGCAGGGAGGTGGGCTGCATGGCCTTTGAGGTCACTTCTAATTCTGTGAACAGGGATGCTTCCATATGAGCACTTCTTTCTGTGTCCACTCACTTTTTTAATAGGCACCCATGTTGTTATTAACTGTTGCAGTCTAGTATTTGATGGGTAAACCTCCCAAGTTTTTGCCCTCAATTTATAGTGATTATTTTGCAATAAGATGCAGTTGCAGCACCAGCTTGTCCAGGGTGAGCAGGTGAAATGCTATTATGGTATTTCGGGGCTCCAGTGCCTTTAAACTGAAAACTCTGTCTTTGCAAGTTCGGTCCATTTTATTGATGAACTTTTTATTGCTTTTGATCCAGGCCTAGGGGCGAGTAGTTAATAAGCCTGCAATAGACCCTATCTAATTCCCCCGGTGTTTGTTTCTCTTTCCAGGATTGTAGCAGGGTGTGGGGCAGAGTTTTACAGTGCAATTCTAACCATGTCAGAAATCAGTCCTATTGAGTGCCATGGGATTTGCTGTCCAGTTAGGATGGTAGCCTTACTTACTGATTTCTTCTCACTTCCTTTTTCTCATTTTTAAATGTTGAAACTTAATGCCATTTTACCGTTTGAAAAAGAAAAGAGAAAACAGTGAGAGGGTATCACCCCCACCACTCTGGAAAAGAAACGGACATTGCGGAAATTTACAAAGGCTATTTAGATCAGAGCCCAGATCAACAAGCTGAAACTGCAAACAGGAGGCTTGTCATTAGCATCGGGATGAACCTTCCTGAGTGGAATTTACTTGTAAATAGGCATTGCAAAAGGAACATGGGTGTGGGGAATGGCACTGCTGACTAATGCAGTAGTATATTAACAACAGCTGTGCAGAGTCTCTGAACTTTGCAATGTAGTTCTCCAACCAAAGAATGTGAATATGAATGTATTAGATGAAAGTGTTCAATTCTATATTTATAAAAGGTATCCTGTTACGAGGAAATTGCTTACAAAAATGTATATTAGCCGACACTGCATGTAAAAATGTGTTTATTAGGATAAATTTGCATGAAAATGCTGATGGTTTTTTGTGAGAATTAAAAAATCCCACATTGCTGCAGAAATGTCGAGCACTGAATTTAAGATTTGAAAAATGGATAAAATGAGAGAACAAGCTGACAGATTTGTCCATCACTAGCTACCAGTCAGTGTCTGGAATTCTGAACTAAATGGACCAATGGTCTGAGGCAGTGTCCTATGTTCCTATGTTTTCATTTTCAGTCTTTTAATAATGGTGGATTAGCGAAAAGGTCCCTACAATTTCTAAGGAAACTGGGAATAGACAGATAGCGAAGCAACACATCTGCATTCTGCAGATACATCATTGTTGAAGTAAGTTTGCATATCAAGAATAACCCTTGAGTGAACCAATCATTCCTCACGTCAGTGGGACTTACGCAACTGAAACAACAATCGCTACCATCTCTGAGACCAAGGGTGCTCCAGTGCTTAGGACTGTGGTGCTGTACACAACACTTACCTCATTTAATTTAAATTAATGGGACTTGCTTTTGAGTATTAGTGAATAGACTTGCACTGCTGGCAACATAAAACTTTTCAGATTCATGCAGGGATCAGCCTCTAATTATCCTTTCTTTTTATTTTAAACCAGGGAAGTAGTGTGAATCTTGTGACAGCAGATTGTGTGTCTCCTCTCCACGAAGCTTGCTTAGGGGGACATTCTGCCTGTGCCAGTGTCTTGTTAAAACACGGGGCCAATGTGAGTAACTTGAAGATGTCCGGGATTTGGGTGCATGCAGAAATAAGATGCCCTGATAGCTCAAGAAAGTGAGCCATGCCAATGATGACACACACACACCCTCGGCACTACTTTCTCATTGTCGCTGACCAATCTGTGGTTGGGAAAAAATCCTTCCCAATCACCGCCAGGACAATCTATTAAGAATAGAATAAATATTCTAGAATTGCATATGCTATGTGCAAGGTTGCTGCTGACTGATTGCAGTAATTTGTTTATAGAAAACAAGGCCAGGGGCTGGAATCTCTCTGAAAGTCATTGCCCCTGATCTTGGCTGGATGGGAACAGGGTGTGAGCAAACCACATTCTGACAATGCTCCAAACATTCTTAGGACTGTGTCTTAGCACTGAAAACAGCAAGAAGGTCTCAAATCGAAAGCTAGGTGGCATATGCTTATTTCTGGCTGACGAAAATGTCACGCTTAATGCCAACAAAATGACTTATGGTGGGGTGGTTAGTAAATATTCATTTGCATGGCTGTTTTCCCAATTCTTGTTCCACTGCTTTAGGCAACATCTACATTGCTGACTCTTTTCCTTTCAGGTGAACATGGCTACCATTGACTGGAACACCCCTTTGTTCAATGCTTGTGTCAGTGGCAGTGTAGACTGCTTGAACCTGTTACTGCAGCATGGAGCCAGCCCCCATGCCGTGTGCGATCTGGCATCACCTATCCACGAAGCTGCTAAGCGAGGTAAATGTCAGCAGATGTGCCTTTATGCCAACACAATCTTTGCATCCATTGTTTCATTTAAATGCATGGGTTGCATATAAACTCAAACCACCTGTGATGTGTATGTATGTTTAATCAAACCATGGTTTATGCAGCCGGTTTGTTTTCACTAACCGGCATCAACCACAGTGCTGGGTTTGAATGACACGCCTAACTGCAGTTAATCTGAAACAGAAAGTGATTCCAATCACTACCTCACAGATGCACCAAAGGAGGGAGGGGAGGGTGCAAGTCCTGGAAGAGAGGAGCCTTATTACCATAATGATAAACCATGGTTTAGTGTTATCACTGAGCACAACTTCTACCACACTGGCTTTCTAAGAGGGCTAGCCCTGTTTTCTTGGGGTGGTTAGGAAATAAGATAATGCGGGAAACAATGTTTGTTTGAATTTCATTGTGCAGAAGCAGCAACCGTCAATCCCACCAAATAGGTTCATTAAAATTTGGCAGAAAAAGAAACCTTATTGTTAGAGACAAAGAGAGTGGATGAAACTGGAAATTTTTTGAAAAGCCTTGCTGATTTCTATCAGGGCTACAATGTTTTAGTCATCAGGTTGGTTTTGATACGACTTATAAACTGCCTGTAATCCTTTAAGGTCATACCAAATGTGTGGAAGCCCTTGTATCCCACGGAGTCAATATTGATCACAACATAAAGCATCTTGGTACTCCACTCTACGTCGCTTGTGAGAGCCAGCAAGAGGACTGCGTCAAAAAATTACTTGAGTCAGGTAATTTTTAAAATGTTATATCCTGCATCAGGGGTAGGCAACATGGTGGACTACAGCTCCAGTTATCCATGACCTTTGGCCACACTGGCTGGGGCTGATGGGAATTGTAGTTTAAAACATCTGGAGAGCACCATGTTGGCTACCCTTGATTTGTAAGCCAAGAGCAAACTCTCTCTTCAAAGATGGATCCTTATGAAGCCAAAATGACATCATCCACGCACAAAAGAAAGGTTATGAGCCAGCCTGAGGAGATCTGTAATAATAATAATAATAATTAATAATAATAATAATATGCTGCCCATCTGACTGGGCAGCTCCCAACAAAATACTAAAAACACAATAAAACATCAACCACTAAAAACTTCCCTGAACAGGGCTGCCTTCAGGTGTCTTCTAAAAGTTAAATAGTTGTTTATTAGTTTATCTGCTTGACATCTGATGGGAGGGCAGGGTGAATTCCACTATCAAGAAGGTCCTCTGCCTGGACTTCTCAGTATCTGGGTTGGATGATGAAGGTGGAGTTGCTCCTTCAGGTATACAGGTATATAATAGTTTTTAGAAAACCCAAGTAGAGGGAGGGAATTCCAAAAACAGCAAGGGAAGAATGAATCCCCACCCCCAAAAGGGAAATAACAGTGATGCAAGAATTTTGCCTGCAGAATTTTTAAGGTGTTAACAGATCCCAGGGTATCTCTTTGGACAGCAGCCACTGAAATAAATAAGCTCATATTTTAACAAGTTAGATCCACCACAACAAGGTTCTCCTTACTCAGAGGGGGCCGTGGCCGATGTAAACACAAAACCACCAACGCCCCTTCTTGAACCTGTCCACCCCATCATAGCAATACAGGAAGCTCCCTTATATGAACCAGATCTTTTGTCTATCTAGCTCTATTTGTCTCAGTATAGATGGGCAGTGGTCGGGGTTTCAGTCAGATGCCTCCCAACCCGATGAGGAGATGCTGGGGACCGAATCTGGGACCTTTTCCATGAGAAGCCTACTGAGCCACAGTCTCTCCTCAGATCAGGAGTACAGAGGGTATTCTTCTCCTTGCGCTGATTGCATTAAAATTGCAAATTTACTTAAGGCCACTAGGAACATACCATACCCTTATAGCAGGGGTGAGAAGCCTGCTGAACTCCAAATCCTATCAGCCCCAACCAGCATGGCCAGTGATCCGGAATAATGGAAGTTCTAGTCTAGCATCCCTCTCTCTCTCTCTCTCTCTCTCTCTCTCTCTCTCTCTGTGTGTGTCTGTCTGTCTGTCTGTCTGTCTGTCTGTCTGTCCCCTTGTGGTGGTGGGGAGTGCACAGGTTCCTGTCTCACAGTAGAATAACAGAAGGATCTGGCAACTTCTGTTTCAGTGTATCAGAAGAAGTGTGCATGCACACGAAAGCTCATACCAAGAACTAACTTAGTTGGTCTTTAAGGTGCTACTGGAAGGAATTTTTTTTGTTTTGACTATGGCAGACCAACACGGCTACCTATCTGTAAGTAGAATAACAGATACAGTCAAACCTTGGTTGTCGAACGTAATCCATTCTGGAAGACCGTTTGACTTCTGAAATATTCGGCAACCGAGGCACGGCTTCTGATTGGTTGCAAGAGCTTCTTGAACTCAAGCGAAAGCCGCGCCGGACGTTTGAGTTGCCGAACTGAGAGATTCACACCTAATGAAACCAGAGTGAGTACCTCAGTTTGGCTAAACTGTAACAAATTTTGCGCAGACAGAAGTGAACTTTGCTTTGCAGCTTTCTACAGTTTGCTCTGTGTTCTCCTGCCAACTCAAACACCTGCCTGAGACAACCTACGTTGGTTGAAATATTTGCTTGTTAGGTTAATTGTCAAGAACACTGGGACCTGTACTGTGCAAAGGCATCAATCTGTCTTTGTGAACATCCCCGAATCCTTTCATGCGTGTTCATTTTTCACGTTGCTTTGGCTGCAAGCCTCAGTCTGTGAACAGGCTTGAAGCCAGTTGAAATTTAAACTAAAAAAACCCCAGCAACTAATGTGCATATATAGGAGGAGATTGTGTGAGCCTTAAATGATCCTTAAACTGACCAGAGGTAATAAAGAATATGGGGAACTGTAGCTTTTGCTAGTTTTAACTTTTTCCTTTCCTTTCTCCCCCCAGGAGCGAGTGCAAATACTGGGAAAGGACTGAATTCCCCTCTCCACGTGGCTGCTCAGACCTCCAATGCTAACTTAGTGCATTTACTTATTGAGTTTGGAGCAGACATCGGGGCTGTGAATGCCGAGGGCAAAAAGCCAGCAGACCTGGTTCCTCCAAACAACACGCTAGTGCAGACATTGCTGCAGAGAGAAGGTGCCTCTTAATCTTGGTTTCATTCAAATTCAAAGTATTTAAGGGTGCTGAATCAAGCTTTGAAAAGGACTCTCTCTCTCTCTCTCTCTCTCTTTTCTCATACCACATTGTTAATTATACTTGTTAATCTGAGCTAAATAATAATAAAAAGACCTTGCAGATAACTCGACTTGGTTACAACAACTGATGCCACAATGTGACCCTGAAGTTATGATAGGGAGTACACATGCCGATTGCTACACATTCAATGACATCTTTGTAGGATCAACAATGGTTCTCAGAAAGAAAGTAGAACTGTGTGTGCTTGTAACTCCAAACCTTGGTTATCTAGTTACTCTTTGCGATTTTTTGTTCAGAGGTATCCGCCATATTTCTTGGTTGAAACAGAATAAGTTGGGTGGGAGTGTCGCAAGAAAAAAAGCTTGTAGGATGTACCGTGGTTGCAGAGAAGACAAGTCTTCGCGATTTCTCGTCTGCGTTTTTCGTCTTGCGAACAAGCCATTAGCGGATAGCGTAAGGTATTTAGCGGATCAGCTGATAAGCGCTTAGATAATAAGCGCTTCAGCTGAAGTGCTTGGACACTGTAAGTTAGCGGTCAGCTGATAAGCGACTTAGCGAAACGGCTAGCGCTTAGCGATCAGCTGATTAGCGGCTTAGCGGCTTGGGAAAAGGGGGGGAAGGGAAAAAACCCTGCAGGAACTCGCAAGACATTTTTGTCTTGCAAAGCAAGCCCATAGGAAATTCGTTTTGCGAAGCACCTCCAAAACGGAAAACCCTTTCGTCTAGCAGGTTTTCCGTCTTGCGGGGCACCACTGTACTGCCAATATGCATCATCTGGTGTGACAATAACATGTGAATGCTTTGATAGCAGGTTCCCTTCTGCTATACACTTCTTTTCAGCAAATTTATACCCATCAAAATAGACTCAATTTTCTTGTGCATATGTGGTTCATTATTATTATTATTATTATTATTATTATTATTATTATTATTATTAGATACTATTTGTTGCATTGAAAGAATACAGCAGATAGTATAAAAGAAAAACAGACCAGTGGGACTGTATTGTTTCAGATCTGTAAGCAAATTTGGGGACCCTCCTTATCACACAAAATTAATATTTCCTTTTGCATATTTCCTGATGAGCATAAAACTAATTCACATTGATCCTGCTTGTTATGTTTTCCAGGATAGGAGACTGTAAGCTCAGTCTGACTCTTTATCTACGTCTACACACTTAGACACACATATTCACTTAGATCAAAATGTTATATACAGACACTAGGGGATATGCATTGTATGATATAAATCAGGCATAGGCAAACTTGGCCCTCCAGATGTTTTGGGACTACAACTCCCATAATTCCTGACCACTGGTCCTGTTAGCTAGGGATGATGGGAGTTGTAGTCCCAAAACATCTGGAGGACCGAGTTTGCCTATGCCTGATATAAATGATGGTGGGTTGGTGTTTTTTTATAACGCTAGTGTAGATGTCATATATGAAGCCTTAGAAGGTTTGCTGTATAGGCCTGATGTACTACAGTAGATTATTCCTGCCAACATAGTTGCATCTGTGTGGAATCATTTCAAGGGATAAATAAAAGATGAAATATGTATATAGCCTAACTCTTGCTATCTATGTATAGTTATTATACTATTGTGAAATGTTTTGAAGGCCTCAAGATTGAATCTCACTGAGGAAAGGCTTTTAAAAGCTCTGTTGCCATATTTAATTACCATGTTTTGTAAGAAAATACGACGTTCATCTTGCAGTTGGCAGATAAATAACATAGCTGCTAATGAGAGCTAAATAGTGGATATGAATGACTGTGCTCAGCTCTGTTAAATCATAATGATATGTTTGACTTCAGTGTGGCAGCTCTAACATTTCTGTTGCAACACACATCATTCATTCAAACAAACGAGCATCGTTGTTTTCCACGTATGATCTTGGATAGAGTTGGCTTTCCTCTGGGTTATCACAGACTGGCACAATAAGAAACCGGTTATTGGATGATATGACATTCCATCTAGAATTAGTGATATAATATATACTAAGCATTTTGAACATTTGAAATGGGCTGTACCAGGGCTGGATTTAGGTTTGATGAAGCCCTAAGCTACTGAAGGTAATGGGGCCCTTTATATGTCCAGCTGTCCTTTGTCAACAATGAATTGTCGCTGGTTTTTGTGTTGAATATGTGCTATATGGTAATTTATAGACCTAATAGGTATCTAAAGCCATTTGCACATGACAAAATATGTATTTTATCAAAGTCATTGTTGAACTGAAATACAATTAAGAAGACGTATATTAATAGTGAAATAGAATTAAGAAGAGGTATATTAATAGTGAAATAATTGTTAAGCTCTAATTTAAAATGATTTTTTATTCATAACAAACTTAATAATGCAAACACATTGCCATATATTTTGGAAATGTACATTCAGGTTTTTTTCCTTTAAATTTTCTTGGGGCCCCCAAAAGAGTGGGGCCCTAAGCTATAGCTTGTTTAGCTTATACGTAAATCCGGCACTGGGCTGTACATAAATAAGTATTTTGATGGTGGGTTTTTTTTAAAAAAATCATTGGGAAATTTGTATACTGTGCCCATATTCAGATATTAGACTCTATGTAGTCTTTGATGCTGGAAAGGCAATTTCCCCTGTTAGCACTGGATCATGGCCGCAGAGGAAAGTTTCCCCTTTTCTGCCTGCTGTTCATTTACTTGAGCGACCTAGAGATCTGCATTCTGCTTCTACTCTTGTGTAGTGTTGTTGCTCCCTGCTTGAAATCCATTGTGACACGGTTTGTGCATGTTACTCTATGAGGGGTGTCAGGGCCGAGAGAGATAACTCCCCCCCCCTTCAAATTCAATTTTTGACTTTATATCAGAGGGGAGACCTCTGCAACCACTAATGTAGCTGAGGGGATAAATTTAGGGTTTTTTGCTGACAAAAGCTGCTTCCACACTGAGCATCTACTCTGCATGATATCATGATCAAAAGATAATCCTCCCATTTCCCCCCCTGTTCAGCTTTGAGGTTGTTCCCCCCCCCAAAAAAGTTCAGAAAATCTTACTCTTTTAACCCAATTAACTTCCTGTGTATTTTCTCCAGGAGATCTGTTGTTCAGTTATTCAATTGCCTTCCTAGATGGTTTTGAGCTGTGTAGAACTTGCACTAGCAACTTCCTGTTCTATAGACTATCTCTCCTGTCTAGAAATCAGCGCTATCACTCTGACCTTCTCCTTTGTATCTATTTTTCTCTCTCCCTCCACCCTGCCCTGCAGTTTCAGCAAGGGGAGAAAAGGATTGCAAATTCTTTGAGGTAAAGGCAGTATTTAACTCTTTCCCACAGATAATGGTCAAGGATGAAATCCCACTACTATCACCATTTGGGGCTGGAGAAAGTAGAATGGCCCACTTAACTAAAATCAATGTTATTCCAGAAGACTGCTATTTCACTTTCATCTTAAAGCCGCATGGCAATAATTGGTTGCTGCAAATTTTCCCCCCAAGATTATAGACCCAAAGATTACAGACAATCAAATCTATTTTTATATTATTCCATTGCCCATTTAGCAATAGCCTTTGTAATACAGTCAGTTGCTCTGTTTGTTTTTGTTTCAGCCCATATTTCTCTTATGCAGTAATTTGCTTTTGACCTTGAACAATATATCTCAATTTGGAAAAAGTCAAACACAAGAATTTCTTGAAGCTTTCAGGTGCACTGTGAGAGCAGAGAACTCAAAGCTGTTTTGTTTCAGTGCAGCTGCTTCGAGTCTCAGAAAAGCTGACCTTGTGATGCAGCTGCAGACGGTGTTTTGTGGGAAAGTGTTATGAAGTCAATAATACCTTGCTTGTTTCTTTGGCCTCTTCCCCCCTCCAGGGCCCTTCTCCTTGATGCAGTTGTGCCGCCTTTGCATACGGAAGTCCTTGAGATGCAAACAGCGACAGAGAATGAGTGAACTTCTGCTACCAGATGAGCTGAAACGGTTTCTGTTGTACCTTTAAGTGTTTTGTTTTGCCTGATGGGTTATTAAAGTGTTGTTTCTTATCCAGGCATATTTGTTGTTGACAGCTGTCTGTCTCAAGAGACAGTGGAGTATGCCGCCAGGGGTGAAGTCAAACCGCTGTATTAGCAGCACCAAAGTGACCTCCCCGGGACGTAAGCCTGGGCAGTATGTGTGGAAGTCCTGGGCTGCAGAGATAACAAGACCCTCCTCTTGGCCTTGCTGGTGTGGTCCAAAGGAAAGCAGCTTGGCTGCAGGAGTTGCCAGAAAGAGGCATACAAGGCGCCATCCAACCTTAGGGACTCAACTCTGGATCTGAAAAACTGGGCAAGTGTGTATGTGTATGTGTATGTGTGTGAGAGAGAAAGAGTGTGTGTGTATGTATGTCTATCTATCTATCTATCATCTATCTATCTATCTATCTATCTATCATCTATCATCTATGACCTCACAGTTTCTATCCTTGTCAACCTATGTACTGAACAAGTAAAAAACCCCAGACTGTAGTACGTATTTAAAACAATTCGCTAAGCAACTGGTATTTAATAACACTGTATGGTTATTATATGAGCCAAGGGTGGGGAACCTTAGACCCAGAGACCAAATGTGGCCCAATCCAGATGTCTCAGTCTGACCCTCAGGACTCTCCCCAGGCCACAACTCTTCCTCAGAGACACCCCTCAGTTCCCCCACAATGCATCCTCCACAAAAATTTACCCCTGGCTGGAATGTCTCCTTGAACTGTGATAAGGCGTAGTACTTGTCTGTTATGGAGGTATTTGGTGTGTGTGTGTAAACATCTGATTTTTGCATAGCTCAAATGTTACCTACTGTACAAAGGTAAGATTCTCACCTGTTGCTCCACCCACTGTTGGCCTCTGGCCATGCCCACAATCAACATATGGCCCGGGAAAGGTTGTCCACAAGGACATTTGGCTGTCAGGCTGAAAAAGGTTCTTCTTCATCCCTGAAAAGGTCTTAGTCACTCCCTCTCTAAACGAAGAGAAATTGGTCAACTGCCCCCTCTTTGAATTCAATAATGAAAGATAAATTTGCTTTGAAACTTGGAAGGAAAATGTACACATAGCAGTATATGTACCAAAATGAGCAGGCTTATTTTCATACATTGGTTCTGATCCAACTAAATTTAACAATGGTTAAGTTCTTTTGAAGCCCAGTGAAGCATATTACTAGCGACAAATACACAGTTCTGGTCTTAAACAAGCCTACTAGGGAGTAAGCCTCCTTAAACACAGTGGGTCTTACTTCCAAGTAAACATGCATAAGATTGCACTGTGCACCTCTGCTTTCAGTGGAGCTTGTACATGACTAACTCTTAACTGGATTGTGGCCACCATTTGAGGATCAGGGTGCCAGTTCCCTGAAAATTCCAGCCACCTATTTTCTCATGTAATTTTTATCTCTGACATTTTGAGAAAACAGCTCTTGCTTGTACCGTGTTTTTTTCAGGCTGGTGCACTGTGTCTTCCAGACTAGGCTACATGCATCAAACTGTCAGGGTGGTGAGTTAAACCATGTGAAAGGGTGTTGCAATTGATGTTGCCCAGTGTGGTGCAGGATGTCACTGAGCAATCTTTACCTAGGATAGTGATAAAAGGGAATTAATTTGGTAAGCAACAATTGCGCACAGCATCAACTGACTGGATCCTCTTCAGTCAGTGGGATTGCAGAGTTGTCAATGGGAAAGTTCTCCCCACGGGAAGTGCAGTGCTGTTATGAACGAGTCACAAAAATGTGAAAAGGGGTATTTTGAATATTTCAAGGCTCGCTGTTTCTCAGCAAAGTAGGCGCTGGCCCATTTGGAAAACAACACCTGAAATCTGTATTAGGTTCGCAGCTCTGTTAGGCCAACCAAAACGCCACGAAAAGTGGAGGCAAGCTCTTGAGGTCTCCAGAACTCTTAACCAGACTAGATTAGCCTTCTTTGACCCAGTGCCATTCAGTGGGACTGCTAAATTCTCTGATAGGTTGGAGTGCACTGCTCAAGCCTCGTTTGGGTCCATGGGAAGCCCCCCTCTCCCAGAGAGATGCCTAATCTCTGGGTCTCCGGTTTGACACCCACACTGGGCAAAATATTCCTGCAGGGGGTTGGACTAGGTGATCCTCGTCCCTTCCAACTCTTCAGTTCTATGATTCTATAAGGCCTGTCTGTGGTCAGGAAGAGGAGCAATCCAATAAGCAGACCAGCTGTGTCCACAAAGAAGGAAATAATAGGTCATGGTAAGACAAAATCCCCATTTTTCTACTTGCCCGACCCCACTCGCAGTATGTTCAATATGACTTCAAATCGTTCTAAATAGAAACCAATTGATGTTTTGCTATTGATTTTGACACAAGCAGGCTTTGGTTCTTACTTGGGAGGCTTCTAGATGGTGCTTAGAAAAACTGGGACTTAGAAGGTATGATAAATTTGTTCTGGCACATAGGTGAAGAACCCAGTGAACATTGAAAGAAAATGGCACAGGAATTATCTGCCGACAAAGCTCACCTAACACGAAAAGAAAAGGGTAATGCATTACCAAATGTCAACTCTTCGGTTCTGAACAGTATGCATTACAACAATAAAATGAGTATTCCATATAAAATTATCTTTGAAAGCTTAAGTTCCGCTAACCCCCATGCAAACATGGTGCATACCTGCTTTCTGAAGTGTTTTGTTTTGATTGATACCAACAACAAAAGCTGCAGATATTGGAGCAGATTAGACTGCAGATGTTATGTATTCTTATGGAGAACTGGCTTTTCAAAAATTACAGTTGGGAAGGTCTGGACAGTTTTCATTAGTTTTAGAAATTCTGAGAGCTGGTTCACAAGCGGAGCTTGTTGGTGCATTGTCTGTGCATAAGGAGAGACTGGAGTTAAGTCTGAGCACATCACCCTGATACGTACAGAGAATAAATTTGTCACACAAGGCCCAGACATATACAACCACATGTGCATGTAACCCAGTCATGTTGTTGTTATTCACATTTATTAGACACTTATTCCATCCAATGCCTTGAAGGCCCATCAAAAGATAGCATTTAGACAGCAGACATATCTCCTGTCATAACCTCCTTCACTGAGAGGTATTGTATTTCTGCTTAATTAAATATTTCTCAGTTTGCATATCTACCTATATATTAGTAAGGGTAAATTTTATGCAAATACAAGTGGCCACACTATTCCATTGTATTGATGGCATCCATCCCATGTTCTTATTCCTTGGCAAACGCCTAATGAACCTACAATATTTGGGCAATGCTTGGAAAACTCATAAAGTCTGCATTTAACTGAGCTATCCGGCTGGAAACATGAGTGAACAGAATTGGCAGCCCTGTCTCCAGTAGACTGCACAATGTTAGTTAAGATGCGTGCCTCTCGTTGAGTTTTATTACATATATTAAACATTTACAGCTGATCTCTCTCTCACCAAACCACCTCTATTTCCTAAACTACATTTCCCAATACAAGCACAAGATGGCACTCTCTTACTGCCTTTCATCCGGGCTCACTCCACTCGTCCAGGAACATTGCGCTCAAACAAAATCCCTTCAGAAGTGATAATGTTAGCTTTTCTGCTGAAAAGAACAGCAAATGGACTTCTCAGAGTTCAGAAGTCTTAGTGGGAAAATGCCAGATGAAGTGAAGGCTCATGAAGGCTCATTTTAGTATACAGAGAGAAAACTCCTCCCAAATTAGAAGGGTAACAATGCAATTTTGTGCACGTCTTCTCAGAAATAAGTCTCGCTTTGTTTAGTGGCACTTACTTAAGTGGGATGGCGGCCTGAACTGAATTACCTGAACTGCTTTGCTCTATCATTCAAGCAATGCACCCAGCATACGCAACATTAGAAACAAGCTGGCTTCGTTCAAAATCCACCACAGACACAGACACTCCCATTGTCTCTATTTTCTAGGGACAGTCCCAGATTTACAGAAGCCATTGCTATTTCTGATTTGATCCTGGAATGTCCCGTTTTCCCTTAGGACATCCCTAATTTGATTGGAGAAATGTTGGAGGGTTAAGTGGCCCCTGAGCCAGGAAGATACAACCTTTAGAAGACATCAGAAGGCAGTCCTGTATAGGGGAAATGTTTAATATTTTATGTTTTATTCTCTTTTTATATATGTTGGAAGCCTCCCAGAATGGCTAGGGCAGCCCAATCAGATGGGCGAGTTCTTGTTATTGTATAGGATATCTTTATTTTCATCAGAGAAATGTTGGAGAACATGTCAACATCTGGGTTGACAGAACTTCTCAGGGAAAGCCAGGCCCCATTCCTTCTTTGGAGGGCCCTTCGGTCAGCTGCTTTCATAGCTGGCCTGCACCAACCAGGTCATCTGAGGGCCTGATGCCTTGGAAACCCCATTACCATGCCACAAGGTAAACATTGGAGTAAGTGCTACCAGGAAGGCAGTTTGCCAGTTGACAGCCTCTCTGTTGTCCTCACTTGTGTCCTCAGGGCAATGAATGAAGGGCAGGCCAGTCTGTTAGTAGCAGGTATAGTAGACAGAGTCTGAAGCCCTGTACCTGGCAAATGCCCACCCCACCCCACCCCCAGTCCCATCCTGGAATGCTGGACCTGGGAAAATGGGACTGTATGAATCATGCCCGCTCCTTAAGAACATAAGACAAACCCTGTTAGACCAGACCGAAGACCCATCTAGTTTTGTTCTCATGATGGCCAACCAGGTCCCTGTGGAAAGTTCTCACAAGCTTCCCATAGGCATCAGATTGGCCACTGTGGCTACTGACACATGACACCTATGGACGTACCCATCTGCTTTGATTTTGTGTCCTGGTTTTTTAAGGCTGGCCGCAATGGGAGCAGAACTGGTTGCACAAGTCTCTGCTCCAACCTCCTACATAAAAGCATTGTAGTCACTCCACCTTGTTTTCCTCATTTCTTTTAGGTGTGTAGCTCTCTTTAGGTGAGAACACCGAGTGTGTCCTTTGGAAGGATGTGAGATAAGTTGTGCTTTGAAGAGGAATAAAGCACCATGAGAGGGAATCTAAATCAAGTCAAGCTGAACCCTTTCACCAGAA